GATGTAGTCAGTGGGGGATTCAGCAGTGGTAATTGTATGCAATCTCTTGTTGGAGAAACTATTTGCCTGGCATTAGTGATACTTACTGCTTGTCAGCCCAAACCTGGAGAATGTTCAAGTAATTAGTACAGATGCTGGAATTTGTACTGAAAGCAAAATAATGCAGGTGATCACAGCAGGCCAGGCAGCATCCGTGGAGGGAGCAAGCTAACGTTTCGTGTCTCGATGACTCTTCATCAGAGCTGATGTGAAGTGAGGAGGGGGCAGGATTTATGCAAAGTTTGATTGGGGTGGTGGAGTGCTAGGGGAAGGGAGGAAGAACATTGATAATTCAGATTAAGTAATCAGAATGTGATAATGGCCGAACAATGGTGTGTCGAACTGCCAGAATGTAAAGCACAGACAGTCCCACTGGAGTAGTAGGGGAGAGAGGGTATGGTGACAGAGACTGTAACAAGTAAATCTAAAAGAAAGGGAAGGAATGGGAGTGGAATGTTCACATCTTTCTGCTGTTGGATATGAAATGCTTCAATATCTAAGGAGTCACAAATAGTGCTGAATGGTGTGCAGTCACTAGTGAATACACCCACTTCTGACCTTATGACATTAGGACCCTCAACCACTATGAGGACAGAATGCTCTCCCCCACAGGAAAACACCAAGGCTGCTAACATGGCGAAGCTGAAACATCCATGTCCCTCCAAATGAATAATTACCCCTTTATATTCCTCCCCAACTCCCACAGTAGGCCTGCTCTCCCTTGTGTCTTACAGGCGCCAACAGGATGGCCATGGCCCTGGCAGAGAAATGGTCCGCTTCACCAGAATCCACCTTCTGAATCTCAGTGGAAAAATTGGTAAGGCTACCTCCTGTAGCCCCAACATCTCAGGTATGGATATCAGTGGGAATGTCAGGCACAGAGCATTGTTGCAGCTCTACAGCTAGACAAGCAAGAAATTCCTTAGACTGCTGGCACTTGCAGAACTGCCAGAGACCAGGCACCTGCTCAGCTCCAGGCAGGAGAGGATCCTGAGGTGACAGCAATCACCTGCGGACAGTAGCAGGGAGGTGAGTCCCGGTCCGGAGGCCATAGCAGGGATGTGAGTCCTGGACTGGTGGCTGTAGTCGGAGGTGAGCCCTTTGTGGACCAGAGGCCAGGCCCTGGGTTTTGAAGCCCTGTGTGCTCTGGATGCTGGGTGCTGGCATGGGCTGAGGTGAAAGGACTGTAAATAGTGAACTTTTTGCCTTTTCATCCTTATGCTAGGGTTTTATTTATCATTCTTTCAATTTTGTACCAAATACCTAAGTATCTGCATCTCAGTATCTTGTACCGAAGATGGCGCCATAACCAGCGACATTGCAATCTTTTCACTGCACTCTTTGGAGAGCACGTGACAATAATGCTATGTCAATTCAATTCAATTCAATTACGATCCTTGACTAATGCCTGTACACCTCCATTACAGTGTTAGATTAACCCCCAAGGCAATGGATCCATGGGACTTATCATGCCCCACCCTCTGAACAGCATAGGCTCCCACCCCTAACTGAGTTCTGGGTGTGCTGGGACCCCCGACTGAAGATTTCCTCCTTGGACTTCAGAGACGGTTAAGACCATGAGTCAAGGCTCATTGCTTGCTGCACATGCAGTGTGTTTGCTGCATAAGCTGCCGGCACATGGTGCGGGTGTGTAGCATGATACTTTATAGCAAGATTTCCACTCCCTTCACTGAGGACTGCTGAGCAGCAAGGCAATCTGTCTGGTCATGTGGTTGCACTAACTGGCACATCCAGGTAGTGCAGTGATGCTGTGAGCATACAGGTAGACATCAACTGAGCGAGCATTAAGAGAGAAAGTGTGTGACAGAGATGCAGTCTGGCCCAGTCTGTGAGCTGGGTACCTGACCCTGTGCACAAAATGTCCTTGCAGCAGCCTTTCAACATTAACTGCCAGTGTGCCCTGAAATACAGATTGGTACTTCCTCAGTTAGACAAACAAGAGGCTGGAAGAACACAGCAAGCCAGGCGGCATCTGGAGGAAAGGAGCAGTCGACATTTCGGGTATTACCCTTCTTCAGGACTTCCTCGATGTTCTGTAAGTGCATTGGAGAGGTGCCAGTCATTGGATACCAATCTCTGTGGATGAGGGGTGCATACAACTAAGTGCTCGTGGATCATGCCCTGCGATGGTGTTGCTGTTCACAGCCAGTGATGAGCTGAATTTACCACTTAATTGTTCTGACCTCCATGTTGAGAATTCTCAGCAATGTATTTGCTCACACTGGCAGGTAGGATAGAAAGCTGAATATTAATGGTGCACGTTATACAGTTAGTAAGGTTGTCAATAAGTAATAAGCCCCTCCTTAACAGGTGACTCACCTCTGCCCAGCAAGAATCTTGCCTCAGCACCTGGAACCTAGTTAAAAGATGCAGCAAGTTGTTCCTGATGTCAAGATAGGCCTCACTGAACATCTTGCAAAATTCTGCCACATTGCTCAGTATAGTCCATATCATTCAGGCTGCAATAAGAACAGGAGCTGTCAAAGTGCCTGGTGGTGTTGCTGGACATTTAAGTCACAGAACACAGTGTACCGATTGCTGCAAAAGGACAGTCATTTCCACAGAGATTCTCTTCACTCCTGAATCCATGGATCCCTGGACTGGCTCAGAGCAGGAGGTCCCTGTGCAGGAATTTCCAGTGCAGAAGACATCTAAAGTTAAGTGTGGCTGTGGTTGTCAAGTCTGGAGACTGTCAAACTGCCAGGGGCAGGGTGGCCATCAGTTTCAGAGATTTCTGGCTTGTGGGTTAGAAGGAATGTGTCCTAGATCAGGCTGGAGGATGGAGGAGGTGTCAGCCACCCTGGAGATGTGACAGTCAGGCTGGCAAGGGTCTAGGAAGGGTCTGGTCGGTGGGCCAGATGTGTTGGGTGCAGCATGGTGGTACCATTCAAGCAATGGGTTCGAGATTTAATGTGCAATTGTGGAGATTCACTGACATTGTCCAACCACATGAGATCATTACACTTCTTGAGGCAATGCTGCCAGGTTTGGCACTAGATGTAAGAAATTAACTTCACTGGACACTTGTTCATAATTCCTTACCCCTGTAGGATGATGGGCTTCTCCGCTGTCACTAGGGTCTCCAGCACTGCATCTATGATGCAGAAAACATTTCTCTTTCAATTTCCTCGTATAGAAATGCAACAATTGGAATTAGTGGCTTTTGTAATTTTTCGACTTGGAGAGACATATTGCTTAAAAGAACAGAAGCGGCTGCACTGTGTCCAAATCTGAGCTCCTTGCTAAGCGCAGAGGTAGCCATTCATCCCTATGCTATGCTTTGGTAGATGATCTTAGATCACCAAGTTTGCAAACTGCCTACCTCCACTCTATGGGCAATTTATGAATTATGGCCTGTGTCCAAAAATGAGAATTAATTTTTACTCTTTTCATAGAATCCCTACAGTGTGGAAACAGGCCATTTGGCCCATTGAGTCCACCCTGCTCCTCTGAAAAGCATCCTACAAATACTTACCCACTTACCCCATCCCTGTAACCTTACATTTCCCATGGCTAATCCACCTAGCCTCCACACCATGGGCAATTTAGCATGGTCAATCCAACAAACCTGCAGATCTTTGGACTTTAGGAGTAAACTGGAGCACACAGAGGAAACCCACGCAGAGAATGTGCAAACTCCACTCAAACAATCACTTGAGGCTGGAATCAAACCCAGGTCCCTGGCACTGTCAGGCAGCAGTGCTAACCACTGAGCCATTGTGCCTGCTTCATAGCACTATGCCAGGCCAAGAGATTTATGTTGCCTTTTTAACGCTAGTACACCAGAATTCTTAGTGCAGATTCAGTAAGATGTTGCATAAAGATTGTGAGAAATTGAAATGCAGAAAAATCATCAGCATCAACTTTTACCTAAATGACACTAAATCTGAGTGATCCAGTCTATTACACCTTCACACTGTTTTATTTTGAGTTATTTGTTGCTTGATAGATATATACTTTGAAAGTATAGAATACACTTTATTCAGTAGCATAGGCCTAGTCAGCACAATTTACACTTTGATAGCGTCTCGCCGTTTCATGTGATTTCATCTTTACAGGAACTCGGTTCATTTAAACTCAACTGTACCCACGATCAATTTCAGTCTTCACTCACACACCCCGTAGCCAGCAATACAATACCAGCATTCGGCAGCTCAACACTTTGTGTAGAAGTGAAAGGAAGAAATTGACAAAATGCTCGAAATGTGTAATGCCTGTTTCGGGTGTGTGAGGGTAATTGGGTGTATAAGTTAAAGTGTGCATAAACACATTGCATTTTCTCCTTGCTTCAGCAACATAATATTTCAGCTTCTGGTCGTGGTTCATGAGGGATGTGGAACTAAAAGAGGCAGTCACCAAAACCAATAATACACCTTGTACCTTCTGGTTAGTTGTGATAATGTCTGAAACTAAGGTAGAGTGAATATGCAGTGGGTTTTGTTCGCAGGCAGGAGTGGAGTGGAATATCAATATCCTGCCTCGAGTTGTAAGCAGCTTTTGTAAAATCACACAGAGTTGCAAAGGGGAAAGCTAAAAACAGACTGGACTTTCACTTTACGGCGTCAGTGTACCAAAGGAATCGATCAATGACATTTTTCAATACAGGTACATTAGACAGAAATATAACCAGGCGAGCATATTTCGAAACAGTAAATCCTCAGAGTTAGACTGAATAAAGAATGACTGAAGATAAAGTAGTGGATTCCAGTATAATCTCAAACACTGTTGTATGCATGTGGAGTTGAATTTGTACATTCCCGTACAAACAACAAATCCTCTATCGAAACACCAGTGTGTTTCTCTCTCTACCGTAGATGGGGTTAACGGTTGGGCATCTGTGAATAAATAACACCAGCTGTTCATTACACTGGCAATTGCTCAAAGATGTTTTATGACCTTTTCACTGGAACTAACTGTCAATCAATGATCCAAAAGGCTCAGCACCCTCTACAGCAATCTGCATGTGGAATCTGTGTGCACAGGGAATGCAAGCGTCTATCTCCTTAGCTGGAAAGGTTGAAGACCATCGATTCGGTGTGAGTATGACAGCGTGAGCAGTGGTGGGAAGGGAGTGGCTGGGCGAAAGGAAGGAGTATTATTTTGGTTGTGGACTCCGAAATTCTGGTATTCCGTGCACGTTGGGGAATTTCGACTTTACACTGTGCACCTTTAGCATATCATTATTCCACACTTCATAGACGAGCCTGGCACGGAATGCTGTGGATTAGGATGCAGCCGTACTTAAGGGGCCTGCAGCTGTTAGTGGAAACTTGGGAATGGGGCGTGCGGTTCTGGTGCATGATCCTAGGTTTCCAGTCCTAGGAGAGGTTCCGGATCTCTGCCACTGTTGCAGGTGGAGTACTGATCCTAACTTGTGGAAACAGTCTTTGGATATGGGCTGGGATGGGCGGGGGTGGGGTAGCACTGGTGGAGAGGGTGAGTTGTGAACCTAAAAGGAGAAGTTAAACTCGACAGGGGCAAAGTAAAACATTCCTGCTCCTTCTGGCCCACAGGCAGAGCTATAAGGGGACTTAACCTTCCCCTTAAAGTTTTACTCATCTCTCTTGAACAGCAAAGGTTCTGAGGCCTGAAAAACCTGGCCAGCCAGTGTTAACCATTTTAGATGATTAAATATGAGGCAATCGACCTGCTTTATAATATTTTAATGACAGACCTGCATTCTGGAATCAGGCTTGCTGCACGGCTCTGTAAAATCCAGGCATTCGTCAGACAGGGCCAGCTATAAAACCTTTAAAATGTAACATTTCACCTAACCTTAAATCACCTAGTTTAGGGATTTAAAAAAAAACCCACATATTCTGAACGAGGAAATGTCAGTTGTCAATTGAATTCAATGTCAAATCACCGATAAAACATTGGACTTGAGAGGTTAAAAAAAGAGATAGAGATAAAATAAATTGAAATAATGAGTCCGAAAAGGAGCCATATTTAGTTTTTAAGTGATTTAAAACCCTCCAACAGTAATTTACATCTGATAGAATGCAATTCCACACTTTTAAAAGTTAGCTTTTAGTGTCCAAGAGATTACAGTGACATTCATTAAGAGTTATCGCACCATTTTTAAGTGTACGCAGACAGAAACGAATATGTCTAACTGCTTCAGTGAGTTTAGTATCTCTGAGATATGTACAGGTACCTCATCTCATTCTTTGTTTTGAACAGGGAATTTGACAGCAAGATACTGATATAACATAGTAACTTTCAGATTTCTATATTTAACTGCACATTTGCAAGCTATATGTTTATACTGGATTTCTGCATAAATAATGATGAACACACTTAGCCTCCCCATTACTTTTACCACCAAATCTGGTTATTACGTCATAGATAGAATGTACAAGAATAGACTTAAAAACATACCACTATTTCATCGCATTGCTTGATAAAAATACTGGTTCTCCTGATATAGTAGCACTGTTCGAGGACTACAACCTCATAGCCACAGAAGTTCAAGAAAATCCATCACTTAACATTGAGACAATTATAAAGATAGACAATGAATATTGATTTTGCCATTCCCAAAGAATGAATTTCAAAAATACTCCAAATAATAGGAAGTGATTTAGCATTCCAAGGAATTGGAATAAATAGGAATGGAAAATTGAAAGAAATTGAACAGGAATAGGTTTGATACATTTTAATTTTAAAAGATGGGATTGAATGGCGAGGAGTTATTAAATTAGAAATGAGAACATGGTACTATCTCGGAATTTTAACTTCTGAACTTCTGTATAACATATATAAATGGATAAGGTTTGATCAAGGTGGGTGAAACATTCCTGTACAGAACAACCAAATGTTTTCAGCCAAGGCCAGGATAAATTGACTTCTGAGCTTGTGATAGGAAACTTTACTTACGTTCCTACTGCTGTTCATTTCTCAACAGCTCCTCCTGGGAAAATATGAGTGGATGAAAAAATAATTATGATACGTTGCCGCATCAGTAAACATTATGCCTGTCAGGAAAGTGATAGTGAACTGTAAGTTTGAATTTCTATGTATAAGAAACAAAGGTCCAGACACTGACATTGTGGAGGCATTTGTTCCACTGGTACAAAAGGCACATTTATATTTCTTTGCAAGTCTCCCATGATAGATTTTGGATTTATGTGGATGATTCTGGTGCATTGTGGACAATCCTTGTTTCCATTATAAATTTCAAAGTCTGGCTCTCTTCTCACTATGCCAAGTGCAGAGAAGGACCAGCTGTTGGTTATTTACCCAATGGGATGTTAAGTTAAGTGGAATCTTATCATGTCCCTAAGCAATCACAAAGCGTTTCACAACCTATCAGTTACTTTGTGAACTGTTTCACCGTTGATGTTGCTGCTAATTGGGTAGCCACTTTTCATGTGAAAAATTGCTTTGACGGTATAGTGGCTGTAGCATTGGATTAATAACCTCGGTGGGAAACTTCCCAGGCACTGAATGCTCTAGGCATTGTGAGAAAGTTGGAGCAGTCCTTTGAGATTGGCAGTGAGGGCCTTCCTGTTTTCAAGCAGTAAAGGTCCTCTTTTTCAAAAAGTGTTGAATGTCAAGATGAGATTCTCACTACTGAGTGAGAAGAGGCCTGTTTGCATGCATTAACATCTTCACTGTTATGACACCCAACTTCACTGATAAGCAATTTCCCATTCTCCCACCCAACCGATAAAACCCAGACAACGGCAATACCTGCCATGGAAATCAGAGTGGTAACCTGGTGACTCCAGCTTAGCACTTGCTTCTGCAGATCTCCATCAATCACCAACATCTCAGGGCATTCTCCAAGGGCAGAGACTGCATGCAACATCCGTCCAACAGGTCAAATGTTATGTGGGTAAGGCAGGAAAGTGGAATTGAGGGTTATCATTGCATTGATCTCATTGAATTGTGGAGCAGACATGATGGGCCAAATAGCGTACTTCTGGTTCAATGTCTTATGGTCTTCCAGACCTCCAAATCCCCGTCACCAAAGTGGGATGCCAATTACCTTCTGTTTGGCATGTCCAGAACAAATAAAACCAACAATACCAGGCAGCTGTGCACTGCCAGCTCTGGACTAAGTGCGCAGCTGGGTTTTAAAGATCACACCAGTTCCAGGAATCTTCAAGATTCTGGTTGTGGCCAATACTTACACCTCCATCCATCAGGAAAATAATACAAGCAAAGCGCCATTGTGCTGTATGAGTTTGAGTTGGTGAGTTGAGTTTGGGAACATTGGATGGGAAGACACATTAGAGCTTAGAAAGAAACCTTCCATAAAATTCACAAAAAAAATGACACCCAGCCAATTTCTGGTAAGATTCAGCCCTCTGGTGATAATGTGCTTAAAATTCACTATATTACGCAGTGGACCATGTTAAGCTCATCTCATTATAATCCAGCAGCAAGAAAAGAAAATGACAGTGTTGCATTTTATTAAGAACCCAAGAAATTCACCATTTTCTTTCAAAAGGACCTCAAACTGATCTGCTCCCAGTGATAACCCACTTCCACAACACGGGTTTGACTTTTATTGGGCAGGATCTGAAGAGGACCGTCTCTGCTTCCACATAGAATGACATGAGACTTTTTTGAGATGAAATTGGTTGCGAGCAGTAGCCTAGGTTTAAAATTAATCAGCAGTCTCTGTAATAAAAGATATAGAAAGCACGTTGAGATATTTGTGGAGACATGGTCTTGGGTGATTTTCTTAGGAGTGGAATGAAAATAGTCATAAATAGCCATGTGTACAACAAAGAAAGCTCTGGCCATCATCTCTTCCTTCTCAAAACATTGTAGCAATTTATACCCCATGACAATAATTTCAGAAAAACTTTCATCTGGTCTTTATGAATTTCTTCAGCTCCCTCTAATATTTAGTATTTAATATTTAATATTTACCCCGGGGAGAGGCAATGGCCTGGTGGTATAATTGCTGAACTGTTAATCCAGAGACCCAGATAATGTTCTGGGGACCTGGGTTCGAATCCAGGAATCTAATGATGACCATGAATCCATTAAAAATTGTCAGAAAACCCCATCTGGTTCACTAATGCCCATTTCGGGAAGGAAACTGCCATCCTTACCTGGTCTGGCCTACATGTGACTCCAGACCCATAGCAATGTGGTTGATTCTGAACTGCCCTCTGGGCAGTTAGGGATGAGCAATAAATGCTGCCTAGCCAGCAATGCCCTCTTCTAATGAATGAATAAAGAAAAAAAAAATTTCAAGGGGAATAAAGAATGCAAAAAGGTATCAAAGTAACCGCTGACTACATTTGTTCTTGTGTTAATTGTGTTTCTTCTCCTTCTCGGGCAGTCCTTCAACATTGAAGATGACTTGCTTCTACTCCATTACAATGGATTCTGGGAGCAATGATAAGCCCAATGCGTGATCTACATGGGTATGTATCAGATGGTGTTTGAAGGCTTCATCAGTGAGTTATTTAGCAGTTTATATACTCTCTCTGGTGCCTTGCCTTTGCCTCTGCATGTTCCCAATGGAGTTTCTGCACGTGTTCTTTCATAAACATTCTCCATCTTGGTTGGTCATAAGTCAGAGCCTCCCATGAATCAGCAGGATGTTTGATCTCTTCAGTGATACTTTGAGGACATGTCTAAAGATTTTTTTCTGTCCTCATGGGAACCCCATACTATGATTAAGATTTGAATAGAGCAGTTGTTTCGGGATTGCTATTGTGCTACCCGAATGAGAAACTTAAAAATGAAAAGAGCATCAGTCTGTACAACATTTAGTACAATAGTCATACCAAGGAGCAAGTGTAGGGACATGAGAAAAAGTTAATCCCCACTCAACTAACATGCACTAGCTCTAATTCACAGTGCATTAAGCTGTCTAGCAAATATGAGACAGGAAGAATAATAAAAGGTAGAGAAGGTTACACACAGTATAATGGAGATTTAGGAATGCTACAAGGCTTTAACATGCTCAGGGGATTTGGATGGGTTTGTAAATACAAGATCAGTTACAGTTACATCATTTAAATATCGTCTCAGATATGTACGCATCAGGGTTTTATTCCATTAGTGACATTTCATGTTGTTGCATTTTTACAAGAGCTGGTAGTTCCCATTACTGCTATTATTGTTGCCCTTTACAGCTGTAGTTTGGCAGACATATCTGCTGTGCAAAGAGTATACTTCACAAATTTTGCATTTTTTGTAGAGAAAACTGACTTATGACAACGAAAAATCTTAAATATAATTATGAAATTTTAAAGAAACTATGTTGTCTCCTAATTTTGTAAACTTATTTTTGAAATTGCAACTTTAAAATTCAGTCACTTTACTTTTGTATTCAAGCTTAGATGTTTGGATTTATAAGATCAGCAGTGACACGAGGAGGGAACAATGAAACATGAAGTTTGGGGCGTTATGGTGGAAGAACATTGGAAAATTTGGGGCCTGGTCTAATTCTGGGAGTTGTAGTCTGATTGTTTGCAATGTTACATCAGAATCTCATAACTATACTCTTAATATATACATGATAATAAAGACAATGGATTCTTGGAGTCGTATAGTGCGTGGTTTAAAATGCCCATCTTCAACTTCATAGCCCTGATACTCTCTCAGCTAGATAGCTGAGTAAATTATACTCCAGAATTACACCCGTGTAAATTCAACTCTTGTATTGAATATGATGGTTCATGGAGGCTTGTGGGTGAATAAAGAAGAAACGCCTATTCAACCTTTGTCACCCTGCAGTGTGATAAGTTGTGGTATCTCAGCTGGGACCATAATCACTAGAACGGGTGGAGTTAGTAATTGCAGATGACAGGAGGCATAATAATTTTTTTCAGAAGATCAAAGGAAACTGCAAATAGATGTAGATAAAATGGGAGATTGGATTTAAAAAGTGGTGAAAGGAATTCAGTGATATAAAGTGTGAGATGATATATTTTAGGTATATAAAATAACAGTATTGAATATAGTTGTGTGTCAAAGAAAGTAGAGGGGGGGACTTCGAGGAATAGGTACATAGAAGATTAAAATCTACATTTCAGGTTGATAAGGTTTTAAAAATCTCCATAAAATTTTGCTTTTATCTCGGGGTATAGATCATGATCATAAAAGTCTACAGGTAACAATGAGCCAGAGCAAAGTCTTAATAAGAACACAGTTAGAATACTGTGTGGGATATTGGTCTCAACAAAGTAGGAAAGATATTGAGGTTTTAGAGAGATGCAAAGTAGATTCATTAGCCTGGTATGTGTAAACCCACAAATTGAAAGAAAATTTGTTTATTTTGTTACAAAGCTACATATTTTGTGGTGATATGATAGAATCTTTATAAATAATGGAAAGATGTGCTCCAGGAAGAATAAAAAAGGTAGAGAACGTTACAAACAGTATAATGGAGATTTAGGAATTCTACAAGGTTTTAACATGCTCAAAGGATTTGGATGGGTTTCTAAAAAGCAAAATGTTTTCAATGGTAGAAAGTTAAAGGATGAAGAGCCCTAAATAAAATATTTTTAAAAAAAGAGATTTAGAAGAAAGAGCAAAAGAAACCTCTTCATAGAACCTTCTACAAAAGAAGTGTGAGGCTGTGGAAGTCACCTCCAGGATTAATGATTGAGACAGAAAGTATCAATATTGGATACTTTGGACATAATTCTTTCCTCTCAATCATTTATAAATATATATACCTTAAAAGTCTTACTATTAAACCATGCACTCTGGAAATAGTTGCCAGATACCTGTCCATGAATCACTGCTTATTATTTGTCAAGCTAACCATTTGTAACATGGTCCCATTCATCCCAAGGACATAGACCTTACATGATATTCTATTATGTGTAAGGGTGTCAAACGTCTTCCTGAAGTCCAGGTAGTTAACATTCACTATCCATGGTGCCATTGCCTAATTTGTTTGATTTCTATTAGACAATCATGAACTCCCACTCCTAAAACATTGTTCACTGCTTGTATAACTCATGTTCCAATAAATACTCAGTTACATTATACACTCTGTAATGATTATTTGGAAGGTCAAATGGAGGAGTGACAAGCCAGACTGCTCCATATACACCTTCAGTGGTGGTGGTGTCCACCATATATGTGCAAAAGACCAAGGCAAAGTATTTGGTATCATCTTTACCCTGAAGAGTTCAATAGATCACCCACCCCAGCCTCTTACTGAGGTGTCCAACATCACTGAAGTACAGTTCTAGCCCATTCGATTCAATTCATCTGGTCAAGAAATGGCTGACAGAGCCGGATAAAGCAAAGGTTGTGGGCCTGGGAAAATCCCAGTATTAGCAGCATCCCTGCCAAGCAGTTCCGGTACAGTTACATCTACCAGATAATGTGGAAAATTCCCCAGGTATGTCTTGTTTCCAAAGGCCAGGACAGCTCCATCAGCTTACTCACGACCATCAGCAAGTTGATGGACAGTGCTACTAACAGAGTCATCAAGTGACACTGGCATAGCAATAACCTGCTAAACAGTGCTCACTTTGAAGTCCATCAGGCCTGGCTGGTTCCTGATTATCTTGCAGACTTGGTCTAAACATAGACCAATTGAAAATCAATTCAAGCTGAGAGGGACTAATTGACATCAAGGTGGCATTTGGTTGTATGTGGTGTTAGAGACCAAGAATCAAATTGAATCAGTGTGTGTCAAAGGAAATATCTCCACTGATTGGAGTCATATCTGGTACAAAGGTAGCGTTTATTCAAGGCTTGATAATACCTCTGCAGGAGTTACTCCAGTTTGATATTTTCTAATCAACCTTTTCAGAGATGTTATTACACAATTCTGGAGCAGGTGCGACTTGAATCTAAGCCTCCTAGCTCAGAGTTAGGGACACTGCCACTGCACCACAATACCTCAGTTCCTCAGAGTATCGTCCTTCAGATGCTTCAATGACCTCCTTTCCATTATAAGGTCTGAAGTAAAAACATTCACTGGTACAGTGTTTAGTTCTATTTACAAATCCTCAGTTAATTAAGTAGTCCTTACTTGCATGCAGCAAGACCAGCATAACATTCAAGATTGAGCTGTTAAGTGGAAATACCGGGCTACAATCATCTCCAATAAGGGAGAATTTAACAATGTCCCTTTGATCATAATGACATTAACATGCCCACCATTGATCATTAAAATTTAACTGGCCCAACTACATAAATACTGTGACTACAAGGAACTTAGACACTGGGAATTCTATAGTGGGTATCTCCTCTCCTGATTCTCCAGCACCTTTCCGCGAACTATAAAGCACTAACCAGGAGCATGATGGAATATTTTCCACTTGCCTGGGTGAGTGTAGCCACAACAGTGCTCATGACACTTGATATCAGGACAAGGTTTGATCCACACCCCCATCCACTAAATTAAACATTCACTCTACCCACCACTAGTGCACATTGGCTGCAGTGCGTACCATCCACCAGCTGCGCTACAGCAACTTACCAAGGCTCTTTTGCCAGCATTTTTTCAAACGCACAATACCACCTAGAAAGACAGGGCAGAAGTTGTAGTTGAACACTACCACCCACAACTTCCCATCTAAACCACACACCACCATATTACCATTCCTTCATTATGGCTAGATCAAAAGGCAGCATTGCGGTTCACCACCCTTTTTAAAAACAATTAGGGGTAGGTAATAAATTATGGTCTTGCCAGTGATATCCACATCCTGTGACATAATAAAGGGCAATAGAAAACAAGGCAGTTTGGTAAACATTTATAAACCATCGGTTTTGAGCACAGCCAAATATTGTGATCAATTTTGAGCACTTTAGGAAGGATATCAGGGTCTTGGAAAGAATGCAGAACTGGAAGAATATCAGGGAAATTACAAAGAGATGAGAGTAACTGGAGGACTTGTTCTCTTTGGAACACAGCAGTTGAAGTGGGAGATTTGTGTGTTCATTTGAAATGAGGATTGATGAAAAAACGATGGCAAGAACCAATCTTCTGGCAGCAGGATCAGTATCGAAGGGGATGCAGATTAAGATAATTGGCCAAAGAATCCAGCAGGGAGATGAAGAGAAATTTTGTACCCAGTGAGGTGTGACCACAATGCTTGACAGGGTGTTGGAAGCAGATTCATTAGCAATTATTCAGAAGGAAGTAGATACCTACTTGAAAAGAATTAAGACTGCAGAAGGGCAGAACTAATTGGTCACCCTTTTAGAGAATCAGTGCTTCATAATTTTGAGGAGAAAAGATCATAGTTAAGCTCATCAGAAATAGATGGACAAGATGCCATATGTTGTCCTTTCTCCATTTGACTCAAGGACTTAACTTAATGAATGTTCAATTTAAATTAGATCCCATGTGCCAGTGGTGTAGACTGCATTTGTGCCCAAATCAATGTTGTATAATTTTACATGCTGCAGTTTGAGCTTCTGTGGTCCCAGGCTTGAGGAGCTAACCTTTATCCTTTGACCCAAGTTTCTGCATTAGCAGAGCAGATTCATTTGTACAGAGAAATTTTTGTCTAAAGTGGGATACCTCCTGGATTCCAAATCACTGCCGTGAGATCTGTTTATAAAATAATTTTAGGTTCGAAGTGAAATGTTGAGAAAATTGTGTAAATCATTAAATGTGTGATATATTTTTGTTGTGTGAAAAATGATATCGTTCACACATTCCGCACTCCTACATGTGTTATATAAATATAGATTAGTGATCAGCTGGCACACCCACATGCTGTACTGAATAAGATACAGGGTTTTCATATTGTTGAATGAATGTTGTAAATTAAAAATCATCTATCACTTTTCACTTTTTTTCCCAATTTAATATTTTATCCGGAGCTATTATAAATTTCCAAGATAGGTCGGAGTAATGAGATTATATAGTGGGTGATCTGAGTTGCACACAAACTATTTTGCTCAATGTCTGATTCAGCGAGAGCATTTCATCATAAAACAAATAAACTTCAAACTTAATACCATTGCAGATCCCTCTGATGTCAAGGAAAGCAAGAAGCCTGTGTCTATAAGCAACAACGATAATATAATCTCATGAAACATGCTGTGTGACCCCTTCAGTAGTGTGTCTGAATTGGAGGATAAATGCAATTCTGCTGAACACTGTAGTCACAGGGCAAGACTCTGAGCATTTGTTCTCAGTGACATTTAAAATAAAATTGGTATATGAGGCAACATCAGCCAGGATGATGTGTGTTTGAGAAGAGGCTGACACTTAAGTGAAAATGTCTGGTAATGAGATATTTTCATAGGTCTTTCTGGACAGTGCTCATGTTGCAGCTTTCAGCAATGATTATGGCAGCTCCAGATTAATGCAGTCCTGGTCTCATTTTAATTCAATCCTATATTCTTATAGCTTACAAACACATCATTCACCAACATTCTGAAAATATCATGTGGCATTTGTTAAAGGAAAGGGATACATACCAGAGGCAGAACAATAATAAAATCAGTCTGTATTTGGACTGCAAAGTCACTGAAGGAATGATCACAATGCATTTCTTTTGTCTTTCTAGGTA